CACAACATAATAAAATGTAAAAAACGTACAAACTCCATGAGAATAATAGTTCCTCACGTCTTCTTACATTTTCTTACGGGTCACGGCACATTATTACACATGTTTACTTTTTCTTCTATTTTATTACGATTGCAAATTCCTACTAGGGTCTCATAAATTTATTGTAATTATCACAACAAAGTTGTAAATAACCTTTCTCTCTTTAACACATTAATCTGGGTATCGAATACCAGCAGGAAGAACAATTTTTTACTTATTTATACAGTACTCAGATAAATTACATAAATTCTTACAACATAAGATTATACATAAAAAAAGTATTCTTAAAAACTATTAGATTTGAACAAANCTATGTAATGATAAACATTTATTTACTAATCATGAGTTTGTTACTTTTAAAATAAATAAATACTTGTTCATACAATTTTTTCACATTTTTTCAAAATTTTCATAATTAAAAAAAAATTGTGTACTGTATATATACAATAATTGATTTTTATTGCGTTTTCTGTATTCTCAATTTTTCTTTTGTAATTTAGGTGATTTTTTTACTTGAGGACGTTTATCACATAGTTATAAGTAGGGGAAAAGTTCAGCTCAAAATTTAGAGAGGTGGGAGAAGTGCAAATTTATGCAACAACGGTAGAAATATTGTTTCCCTCATGTGGATGTACTTACATACACGCTTTTACATGTACCTAACGTCTTTTTTTTGTGTTGTTAAAAAAAAAAAAAAAAAAAATTATAGATCTATTGGAAAATGAAACAGGTTTATATGAAAGTAATCTTTCATACAAACGAAAATTAGGAGGTTTATACAGATTTTACAAATGCAATTCTATGTGATTTTGTCAGAAGGTTACATGTTAAGTTGCAACTTTTTAAAATAAAACATGTGACAAAGGGTACAGCTGAACGATCTGCAATTTTTTTGGGTATTTCTTGTGATATTTTGGGTATACTTTTGATGCTTGAATAATATCTGTCAAAAAAACTTATGTCTGATAAACATCCTACTTGAAGGACATTCACTGGCATGTACTTCCAACTAACATACACTTCTGACTCTCTAAGTATACCCAACTAACGTAGGTATTCGAGGTGAAACGCGACTACTAGCATCGGAAAGTCTGCACAAAAATAAATGAAGTGGCTAAATTAAAACTAAAACTTGGTCTACATGACGTGTTCAAAAAAAAGAGTGCCAATTAAGCGGTATTTTATAATGTGAAAAAGCATTATGCGGCATTAACTAATACTAAAATCTGTCCTATGAGTCTCACCTCGAATACTTATTCCAACGATAATTGCACCAACTTTGTATACAAAATCGTTTCTTAGAAAGTATATATATATATATATATATATATTTATATTTATATTACCTGCCATATAATTTTATAGAAGTATCACTTTTTGGGTATCCAAGCACCCACTGTCTACTGGTTTACTTTAGTTATCGCAAGCCAATCGTGACATTTTAAGGATGTAATTCATATGAATATATAACTAGGTTCAAAGCTGTACAAAGTTAAGGTGAACTGTTCTCATACACTTTCATTTTTTAATTTACAGCTATTAATATTTGTTTTCTATAATTGTTTATTTATCAAACATGAAAATATTTATTGAAACCATACCAAATGAACGTACATTTACTCATTCCAACAATCAGTGCACAACTTTTATACACGATCGTTTTACAGAAGGTATATTTATATATGCCATAGAATTTCATAGAAGTATAAATTTATACTTGGGTACCCAAACACACACCGTTTACTGGTTTTTCAGTGGAATCAACGTTTTGAGCTTGCGTTACAATAATGTATAAAAATATTTCTCGAAACAATTAGTTTTCATTTTACATATATTTTTTGCGATGTGCATCTAGTATCAAAAGTATGATATTTATTCCTTGCCTGCAGTTGGACACGCGCCGATCGACATGGCTTCTTATGTTTCTGCTAAGTGTACAAAGTTTTGATAATAATGTTTGGCTAAAACTTCGTTTAACAAACATAATTGTATAACAAAGAATCGTTTCTTACAAAAAACATATTCAGTACTCCAGGTCAAGACTATACAGCAGTCATTAACCTTACGAATGAAAGAAAAAAAATACGATATACCTACAGATACCTTCAAATTGTGCGAGATGCACAGTACCTTACCACCATGCCATGTAGTGGTCAACTACATAGTACTGAGGTAACCAGGTGATACAATCACATTATGAATCATTTGAAAACCGATACGGGACAACATAAAAAGTATTTACAGGAGAAAAAAAAGTGACTATGGGTGCTAAGTTTTACGTAACAGTGTGTAAATAGTTTTTATAAATGACGATCAGCTGTAATGAAAGATAAGTATAAATAAATCTCCGTGCTCGCCAAGTAGGAAGTCTCTGACAATTTTTGGGAGCTGCAGATGAGAATATCTATGAGAACGTAATTCTAATAGTACAGTTTTCATTTTTGTATTTATCTACTGTCTCTTTTTGAAGTGTTAAACTTACTTGACAAGTCTGTAAAATTTACTACAAATTCATAAAGTTAACGATTCTATAAATTCTTGTCCATTTTATTATCGGTCCAGTAGCTTACCTTTTAACTTAGCATTTAGGTACTGACAATAAGTTTCTGCAGAATTTTTAGTAAAAAAGACGGTAGCGAGTGTACTTTCCAGAGAGAACAGTCTCTAACAACTGGTCTTACTTCTTGAAATTAGTTATCTGAAGCGAATTTTCGATAGAGGATTGGTGAAAATTTATATTTTCATGAGAATTTTACATCCCGTTTCTCAGATTCTTTATCTAACTAAATTTTACTTCTGAATATGTATAAAAAGCTCTTTTTAATTTTTTATTCAAGTATGTCGTATCGCATCCCTGTCGACGATATAAATATTTACCAAAAAAACATATCCACTTTCACAAGTCGTTGTAAAAAATTAACAGCTTTTATTTTTGTAGACCGATAACTGAGACTATGTATGTATTAACATATATGCATTTTACATACACGCACATATACACACATGTGTATATAAATATACATACATACATATAAGATTACATAAATAATCGCCACTATAGAACCCTTGCATTCAAAAATAACTGCATTTTCTAAACCATTTAGGTATCTCATTTCTATTTATTTATTTCATAAAATCTATAATATGCATTACTCTCAATTGAATAAATACTATTTGGTGTACTTTAAATAGGCACGCGTGCGGTAAATACATGTAATAGTTTTTCTTGGATATTTTTGTAATTTTTGCATTTTCTATTAGAATAAGTACTTGCATTTTTAGTAAGCAAAATATATCAAAAGATTTTTTTCACTTTTCATTGCAAGTTTAAAAGTTAATAAGACACTTTACGTGTGCATTATGTTCATCGCACAAAATACTTCCTTTATTTAAAGATGTTTTATTCACTGATGTGTTTATTGTACTTTTTTCTTTGACAAACAACCTTTTTTATTATTATAAATACATTAACAAATCACTCGAGAGATCAAAAATAAAAATTTTCAATTCACTTTGAACACTTCTGCAAAGTACGATAAGGCGCTGCCTTTTTTCTTTATACTTTGCTGACACCTTTTTATATTGTTTTCTTGTATACTCAAACACACGTATATGTTTACATTCTCGGAAATTCAAAAGTTATTTTACAAGTAAAGTCTGTGATCTTAGTATTGTATTTTACTTATGCTTTATTTACACGCAAACACTTTTTTACAAAATAGATATGTAATAATGTGCAGTTCCATTTTTTTTTTTTTTTTTTTTTTTTTTGTAAAAATATATACATTTTATGGATATTTCTACAATGCATTCTGTCCTTATATTTACAGCCTATCAGATAAAAACTCGCATGGAACAAATCACCGAAAAAAATATGCACAATTAATTCGTAACTTTTTTTACACACATGTATCACTATCATATCTCTTCAAATATCAAGCAATAAGTAATAATTTTTAGAAAATTCTAGACGCTTTTAAACTTTAGACGTCCTAGTATCCATTTGTCCATTACTTTATAACATAAGTATAGACATTTCTATTTTATTTCGCATACATTTAACAGTCTATATTAGATATTTTGTACATTCTTCTTCTGGATTTTGGAATGTCTTTGGCTAAATACTAGGCTAACTTGGCTACTTTGGCTAAGTAGTTCAATCAATGACTGAATCGGGCACTCAAAGACATTTGAGACCCTCTGTTTCTCATTCGAACGTGGACTGAGAAAAATAGTGTTCGAAAAAGTGTTACAACTACAATAAAAATTACTATATTTTTTATAAAAGCTGAGACATATTTGCCATATTATCCAAATTACTACGCTCAACGGTAAAACCAGATTATACTGAAATTTGCTATTCATTATAGAAATTTTTACTTTGTTCAGAAATAATTTTTGTATTCAAGTAAAAGGCGAAAAATTTATATTCATATTATATATGCGCAACTATCAGGAGATTCAGATATAGTTTTTATTTAGATAGATACTTTATTCCTTAAGATTATAGAGGTGGATGCATTTTAAAAATAAGTTTTATTTAAAATAGATCTGCTCTGACCGGGAATTGAACCTCCATCCTTCGGCTTCCGAAACAGGCTCCGTAACCACTAGACCACGGAATAATATGTCTGCTTCAGCATCGATAAAGTACATGTGGGAGCGTGTACTGTTTATGATGCACACAATAAACTTAAAAATCAAAGAGTTTCTTGTAAACCACGGTGTTGACCACAGATAATTAGTTAATTTAAAGTTATTTGTTTGCATGTATTCATTTTAAACCCTTATAAATAAAAAAAATGTTTCTCGTACTAATTACATTAGTATAACCTCGAATTTGAAACTCAATAGGTGTATTTACCTGTAAACGTCGTATAAAATTATTTTCGAGCATAGTAATTTTTACTTTACTGATCGCAGTGGATTTAGAAATTTTACAATGTCATTTTTTAAACTCGCATTTAGAATATGGAACATTTAAAAAAGATTACAATAAAATTTACTATGTTTTATGGCAAAAATTATACCATCGCGATTCTTACTACGCTAGACATAGTCATTTTTATTATGCTGTGTAATAATTTCTTTATGGCTGCTGCATAATAATAATAAATATTTAAAATACAAAAATAATTACGTTGAAGATAATAATTTGCGTCATTCCATGAGTATGTTCTCACTTTCCTGATAAATATAGTAATTTTTAGAATAGTTCTGATGCTTTTTTAACACCACTTTTCTCAGTGTGTTTCTATACGCAGTCAAATTGATTTTTCATGAAAATATCAATAATTCTACAAAAAATCTTTTAAAAATAGAAACAGGAGAATACAGTTGGTAAGCGCTTACCTAAGGCTTATTTTATCGTTTCCTTGTTTGACTTGTTGACAACGTGTTGTACGCCATCGATGGCTGTTGCAAAATCCTGTGAACAATAAAAACGGGATTTTAAGGACTACGAAGAAAATTTTGTTTCATCACTAATAGTATTAATATTTAAGAAAGAAAAATGATTAAATGATAATTGTTGATGTAACAAGTACTCAAAAGACGGTTTCTTACACGAGCAGAGATAGAGACTCGCTCGAGTGGCTGGAGTTGCCGATAACAGGTACTAGTGATCGGACATGCACGAGTCTTTTACTAAATTGTAGGAACCGTTATAGACTTGTTACATAAAAAACTTATGAATTTTCTCAAACACTATTAGGAAGAAGAGTTTTTATAAAAATCAGATGCATCTTTTGTTTAATGGTTATTGAGAATATTAGGCTTGATAATAATATGAATGTTATATAAGACATTATGTAAGAAACGTGCCTAGATTCTGAAGTTATGACCAAGGATAGAAGAAAGACGAAATGTGTGTTCTGTATCAGAAATCTAAAAGGGCTACATCAATAGTTCATATGGGCCTCTGTAGGCTCCTTCAAGTGGTGCATAACAGGGCGCAATCAAGGACCTCGTGAAGTAACCTCAATAACCTAATCCCATCTCATGTAAGTAGATTTTTTAAAGTTGTATGAAGGGCATTCAGTATATCGGCTGGAGTTTCTATTTGTTCAAAAAAGTATCAAGAAAGAGATAGCGAGAGACCCGCGTGGGATAGTGTAGCCAACATCGCCGCCGCGTCGCATACACGACCAGCGAGAGAGACGCTAGACTTGTGAAGTTGGCGCCCGTAAATATTAAATATTAATATTTTGCACCCATTCAGGGCTTAAACGATTCCTCCTTACTTGCGGATTTATCCTCCACTGGAATTTTTATTTGCGGATCAATAGTTTGCGAAATATTTGCAAAATAAAAAGTCGAAAATGGGCGCGGCGCTGAAGTATAAAAAACTTGGTTTTAAGTGCTAAATTGGGTTAAAATCCAATTCTACCTATACGATTCGATTCCTCCTCATTTGCGGATTATGGAGATATATAAATGAATGTAATTGAATGTCACAAAGATTGTAAATAATGAATTTAATTATTGAGTGAGAGAATCTAGTAACTTTTGTCTAGTGACTTTTGGTCCAGTGCTCCGTTCCTGTTATTCGGTACATGTCGTTTACTCCGAACAGCGGGTTCTACAAAATATTTATCAGAATAGAAAACTTTAGTAGGTAGTAATCTATTAATTATTAGTTTTAAGTTATTCAGCTTTTGGGTCAATACACACACACACACACATACATTACATACTTCAAACTCAAGGAAAATTTTTTTGTCAATAGGTACAGATTTTTTATCTTAAGAATCTAATATCTGAAATCTATTGTGGCAAACACTGTGGACTGATATTTATTCATTACATGCGAAATTTTAATATTTGTTGTTATTCAAGAAACAAATAACAACACAACTAAAAAGTAGCAGTACAGTTATAATTATTACAAGACAAGCCACAGCTAAGCACACAAGTATCAATTTTGTTTGGACAAGTTTTAGAAAAGAGCTCAAGCATTCAAATTTCGCGCGTAAATGATCAATCAGGCGAATTCAAGATCAAGTTACCGACCAGTGGAAACGGATAAAAGTGACACAGGCTGTGTTCGCCTAAGGCTCTGTTTGTTATTAAGTCTATTAAGGTCACGTGATCATTTATCATAAGTGCAAGGGATACAGCATGATGTCACCGTCTCACTCGCTCTTATCATAAATGATCACGTGACCTTAACATACTACAAACGGAGCCTATGCAAACACAGCCCCAGTAATAAATTTACAAGTACTTAATTAAAAAAAATGTTTATTAAATGGGTTTACACTAGATTGCATAGTCATCGAAAAATGAATGTGTGTGTGCGTGTATTGACCCAAAGGCTGAATAACTTATAACTAATAATTAATAGGTTAATACCTACTAAAGTTTTCTTTTCTGATAAATATTTTGTAGAATCCGCTGTTCGGAGTAAACGACATGTACCGAATAACAGGAACGGAGCACTGGACCAAAAGTCACTAGAAAAAAATTACTAGATTCTCTCGCTCAATAATTAAATTCATTATTTACAAACTTTGTGACATTCAATTACTTATATATCTCCATAATCCGCAAATGAGGAGGAATCGAATCGTATAGGTAGAATTGGATTTTAACCCAATTTAGCACTTAAAACAAAGTTTTTTATACTTCAGCGCCGCGCCCATTTTCGACTTTTTATTTTGCAAATATTTCGCAAACTATTGATCCGCAAATAAAAATTCAGTGGAGGATAAATCCGCAAGTAAGGAGGAATCGTTTAAGCCCTGAATGGGTGCAAAATATTAATATTTAATATTTACGGGCGCCAACTTCACAAGTCTAGAGACGCTGGCTGCGTGAGAGTCAGCAACCAGTCGTTCATCTAGCTAGTCAGGCGCTAGTTTAGCTCTGTTCGAACGAAGCCAGAGCGCCATTGCTGAAAAACCCCTTTCCCCCTTTGATTTTCCGCGCGTTCGTTTATCAAAGCTACCACTAAAGACTTGGAGCCTTTAACAACTAGTTGTTTGTATTTAGTTCGATTAAGCAAAAGGCAAGACTTTGCTCGTTCGCTAATTAAATACCGTACTTTACGCGGCGGAAAGTCCACCATTGTCACGACCTCGTTACGTCGAAAACCAACTACTCAGTTCTCGTTGGACCAAGTTTGTAGATTATTATATAATCGTAAGAAAAACGCTAAGTGTACCTTGCAGCTATCGAACGGATTTACTAATCAGAATAGTCTGCAAGAAAGGCATTAATACAACTGGAATTTCGTTAGTATTAAGAAGTGACTCTATAATTATAGTGCAGTGGAGTGCAGTTTTCGCTGCGAAGAGACTAACAAAGAACAATCTCTTGCGTGTGAATTTAAAAGGACTACTTTTTTGTATACAAGTGTTGGTAAAAAGAGCGATATAAAACTTGTACCATTATCCTCTCTTTTTTTTGTGTTTATTCAATAAATAAATCTCCGTGAACTTTGAAAGAAAAAAAAGTGAGTAAAGTTTCATTCTCCTGCTTGCCCTCGCTATTCGGTCCCTATAAACATCAGCCTCAATACAGTCTAAAGATCGAAGGCTCAAAATCAAACAATACCTTACCAACTTACCTTATTTAATGAGTTATTGTTAATAACTAATTATCTAGCTGTTTAAACCCAAAATAACGAGAAGAGCCGCCAAGTTAGTACTTTGAGAAATCAATAGAGCCCAAATTCAATGCAATTTGTTGCGTACTGAGAGAGAAAAGTACATTTAATGATCACGAAAGAGTGTTTCAATGCGCATAATCTGAAATGTAATTTTTTTCAAAAAGTAATGCATTGAATTATCTGAAATTTGAACTGGGCTTCTAAAATAAAAAAGTAAACGCGGCTCTTCTCGTTGTTTTGCAATTATTGAGTTTTCAAAATTGAAACTTATTGTAAACGGCATTACATAACCTACAAATCTGCATATGCTGAGTAAGTTCATAATTTGAACTGTATATTTTCAAAAACCATGAGAGGACCAGTGTTTGTCTTTTTACTTTAGAGGCTTTTTCAAAATTTCAGATAATTCAATGCATTATTTTTTTGAAAAAAAATTACAATTCAGATTATGAACATTGAAATACTCTTTCATGATTATAAAATGTAATTTTTCTCTCTCAATACGCAACGGATTGCATTGAATTTGGGCTCTACTAATTCCTCAACGTACCAGCGTGATGGCTCTCCTCCTTGTTTTGGTATTAAACAGCTAGATAATTCGTTATTAACAATAATTTATCAAAATAGGGAAGTTGGTAAAGTAGAAACTCCGGCTGATATACTGAATGCCTTTAAGGAGGTTCCAGCGTCCTAGTGTCGCCATATTGGACATAGGTCTTTAAATGGTTTAGATTACGGTGAATCTATGGGTACCCTTTTTAATATCCATAACCGGACAAAATCTTGAGAAATTCGTGCTTGAAGTTCGCTCTTTTAACTAGAGCGCTTAAAGCAGGTATATTAGGATTAATGATTTGCAACTTGAACCGAAAGTGTTGGATATTACGAGTATACACGTATTGTAGATTTTAACTTCATCTTTCAAATGCCGTCTTGATAAATATGGATACACGAACAACTTTTTAAAAATATTCTGATTATAATTAATGAAGTCGTATTTCCATAGGTTAGCCTATGTTTTCCTTGCGGCCGTGGTGCCAACTATCAAAGTTTTTTGAGCAAATTAAGGCTCCAAGATGCAGTTTGTTATCCCTACTCGCTGGAACCGGCTTAAGTAGAAAGAATCAACTGAATGAGTTCTAAATCCAAGTAATTGATAATGTGACAAGTGTCATAAAGGACGTTGCTCTGCATTTTTTTGTTTTAAGCAGTTACTTTTACCTTTTTAAAAATATAGAGGTGTATTTGGTACTACAAGGTAAAGGTATACGATTGCAATACAATATTGATTGATAATAATAGTAATTTTGAAATCTGAACTTAAAAATACAACTTTCAGATACTTTTCTTCATTTTGACAATGTGAATTCTCCAAGTAAGCAAAAATTGAAGAAAAAATTTTAGGAGCAAAAAATAATTAAAAAGAAGATAGCTGATACAGTTGCCCTTACATGCTATTATTGCGAGCTATCATAAAATACTGCATAGGAATTGTGTTTTCTATCAAGTACTGACAATATAACGCTAATTTTTTAGGTTATGTATGAATGGAGATATATCTTTGATTAAGCATATCTCAGTGTAGAATTAGGGCCACATGCCCCCCCCCCTTCTCTCACGAGGCCTCATTAGGCCCTTTAGTGACAAACGGGCTAACCTTGTGAGATACTTATGATTATTCCATTAATATTTATATTTGGGTTTCATCAAAAAGGTGCAGGCAACAAAACAACAGGTCAAGAACTAAAAATGGTATAATTGTTGACGTAAAATTATCCATACGTTGTACAATTATGTCTATGTATAATGATATTAAT